CTCTCCGCAGGCTGGCTCGCAGACCCTCAGCGGCTGCGCACTTGCAGGGGCGAACGAAGTGGTTGCGACGGCAAAGAGAGCAACGAAGAAGATCTTGGCGTTCATTGTTGTAGCTTAAAGGTTTTCGGTTGATTTGGTGGCTCCTTGTCAAATTGAAAACTGATGCATCAGGACATTCTTCATGCCTCACGTGTAATTCTTCAACTAATGGGCTGGGTCCACTCAATAACAAAAGCGTTAATTGAATGAGTAAATCTTCTGTTGTTGGGAGCATCATTGTTGATGACGTGGCTTCATCTACATTATTGACCACATTATAATTGAAGATGCCGATTATTGCCGATACAATAGGCTGTATCGTTAGTTTTCTTGCAACATTTGTTGAATCTGACGTTGGATCTGCGAGCTGTAGCTTTGCGAGCGGGTGTTCCTCGGCAGGGCTCATCACAATGGCCAAGCCCTGCATGAACTAAGCACAAATGCCCCGGGGGTGACTTGAGATCTGGCCGCAGAACAACTCTAAAAAATGCAAGTACGAGCTATTCATTAGATAGATTTTTTACAGAAAGAACGTCCACCGAGTATCCGAGCAACCAACGCTCAAGGGATCTTGTTGGCGAGCTAACTGTAGTGTCTGCGGGGGAGTCGAAGACACGATGGGGGAGTCGGCGAGCTCCCTGAAGTTTGGCCGGAGTGTATTCTCTTTTAGGGAAAAGTAGAAGTGAGCTTATACCTATGTGCTATCGCTTTGGCTGCAGAAGGTGAAGTTCTTGCAATCAGAGATGTCGTTATCTAGGCATCTACATACGCGTTATTAGCTGGATGATTTTTTCCTTGTCATCCCGCGTCGCGTTATGAGAGCCTGGCTTGTAATCGCGTTGTGCGTTATGTTTGATCAGCCTTCAGCTGCTACTGCGAATAGCTGGAGCTGGCTTGTTGTTACTGCTTGTAATGTAGCTCTACACTACACTAACACCTAAAAAACAGGAAAACACTCGTCTAAGTTATAGCATTTAATTAACCCTTGAATAACCTCTCTTGAACCCTTACAATCGAAATGCCGAGTTTGTGGAGTTCATGAGCAATAACGCATTCATCGATTACATACACATGTAACTTACCAGAACCTCACTCCGAGCAGGCCTACGGTATTATAATAGTTTGTTGCAAATCGTCGTCGTAGTACTTGCCGTCATCTATTGTATCGAATGATGACGTGTATATAAAACGCGTTCTGTACATGTGCTGCATCTGAATTTACTAAAGTCATTGACAAATGGTCTCCTGAACGGAGAAGCAATTACTTCGAAGAATTCACAAGTGCATCGGTAACTATGAATATCGTCTAAACTACTATTGCCGCGATTTTGCT